GACACAGTACACACAACTGAGGAAGAAGTGAAGAGGCTTCTGAGTGAGCTAGATACCTCAAAGGCAATGGGGCCAGATAACATCTCTCCATGGGTCCTGAGAGAGGGAGCAGAGGCGCTATGTGTACCCCTAACAACAATATTCAATACATCTATCGAAACGGAGATTGCCTGAGGTATGGAAGACAGCAAATGTGGTCCCAATCTTTAAAAAAGGAGACAGACATGAAGCACTAAACTACAGACCAGTGTCACTGACATGTATAGCATGCAAAATCATGGAAAAGATTGTCAGGAGAAGAATGGTGGAATATCTAGTAAGGAATGATCTCATCACCAGCAGCCAACATGGTTTCAGAGACGGGAAATCCTGTGTCACAAACCTATTGGAGTTCTATGACATGGTGACAGCAGTAAGACAAGAGAGAGAGGGGTGGGTGGATTGCATTTTCTTGGACTGCAAGAAGGCGTTTGACACAGTACCACACAAGAGATCAGTGCAAAAACTGGAGGACCAAGCAGGGATAACAGGGAAGGCACTGCAATGGATCAGGGAATACTTGTCAGGAAGACAGCAGCGAGTAATGGTACGTGGCGAGGTGTCAGAGTGGGCACCTGTGACCTGCGGGGTCCCACAGGGGTCAGTCCTAGGACCAGTGCTGTTTCTGGTATTTGTGAACGACATGACGGAAGGAATAAACTCCGAGGTGTCCCTGTTTGCAGATGACGTGAAGTTGATGAGAAGAGTTCTTTCGATCGAAGACCAGGCAGAAATACAAAGGGATCTGGACAGGCTGCAGACCTGGTCCAGCAACTGGCTCCTGGAGTTCAATCCCACCAAGTGCAAAGTCATGAGGATTGGGGAAGGGCAAAGAAGACTCAAGGAAAAAGATCTTGGGGTGAGTATAACACCAGGCACATCTCCTGAAGTGCACATCAGCCAAATAACTGCTGCAGCATATGGGCGCCTGGCAAACCTCAGAACAGCATTCCGACATCTTAATAAGGAATCGTTCAGGACCCTGTACACTGTGTACGTTAGGCCCATATTGGAGTATGCGGCACCAGTTTGGAACCCACACCTAGCCAAGCATGTAAAGAAACTAGAGAAAGTGCAAAGGTTTGCAACAAGACTAGTCCCAGAGTTAAGAGGTATGTCCTATGAGGAGAGGTTAAGGGAAATCAACCTGATGACACTGGAGGACAGGGGAGATAGGGGGGACATGATAACGACTTACAAAATACTGAGAGGAATTGACAAGGTGGACAAAGACAGGATGTTCCAGAGACTGGACACAGCAACACGGGGACACAGTTGGAAGCTGAAGACACAGATGAATCAAAGGGATGTTAGGAAGTATTTCTTCAGTCATAGAGTAGTCAGGCCATGGAATAGCCTAGAAAGTGATGTGGTGGAGGCAGGAACCATACATAGTTTTAAGGCGAGGTATGATAGAGTTCATGGGGCAGGGAGAGAGAGGACCTAGTAGCAATCAGTGATGAGGTGGGGCCAGGAGCTGTGACTCGACCCCTGCAACCACAAATAGGTGAGTACACACACACTCATGCGCACACACACACTCACGCACACACACACACACACACACACACACACACACACACACACACACACACACACACACACACACACACACACACACACACACACACACACACACACACACACACACACACACACACACACACACACACACACAATGCACAGACACACACTCACACACACACATGAGCAGGGTCCCACAGGGGTCAGTCCTGGGACCAGTGCTATTCTTGGTATATGTGAACAACATGACTGGAGGGATAGACTCAGAAGTGTCCCTGTTTGCAGATGATGTGAAGTTAATAAGAAGAATTAACCCTTAAACTGTCCAAACATAGATCTACGTTTTTTCAACATTTGAAAGTGTGTAAAAAAATGTAGATCTACATTTTTTTTTGTTATTGAAAATATGTAAAAAAAAATAGATCTACTTTTGGAGCACTACGCATGTGAACGTAGTTCTGTTTGACAGTTTAAGGGTTAATTAAATCTGATGTGGACCAGACAGGTCTACAAAGAGACCTGGACAGGCTGGATGCATGGTCCTGAAAATTGTTCCTAGAATTTAACCCTGCCAAATGCAGGTCCGTGTGGCTACGTACTGAACCTTGATGGTGCGTGTGGCTATGTACTGAACAGTGATGGTTCGTGTGGCTACGTACTGAACCTTGAAGATTGGAGGAGGGCAAAGAAGACCCCAGACAGAGTATAGGCTAGGAGGCCAAAGGCTGCAAACCTCACTCAAGGAGAAAGACCTAGGAGAGAGTATAATACCGAGTACATTGCCAGAAGCATGCATTAACCAGGTAACTGCTGCGGCATATGGGCACTTGGCAAACCTGAGAATAACGTTCTGGTACCTCTGTAATGAATTGTTCAAGACTTTATACACTGTGTACGTCAGGCCCATACTGGAGTATGCAGCACCAGTTTGGAACCCACACCTGGTCAAATACGTTAAGAAATTAGAGGAAGTGCAAAGCTTTGCAACAAGGCTAATTCCAGAGCTAAGGGGAATGTCCTATGAAGAAAGGTTAAGGGAAATAGATCTGACGACACTGGAGGACAGGAGGGTCAGGGGAGACATAACAACAACATACAAAATACTGCATGGAATAGACAAGGTGGACAGAGACAGGATGTTCCAGAGATGGGACACAGAAACAAGGGGTCACAATTGGAAGCTGAATACTCAGATGAGTCAAAGGGATGTTAGGAAGTATTTCTTCTGTCATAGAGTAGTTAGGAAGTGGAACAGTCTATGATGTAGTGGAGGTAGGAACTATATATAGTTTTAAGATGAGGTATGATGAAGCTCATGGAGCAGGGTGAGGGAGAACCTGGTAGCGGTCAGTGAAGAGGCGGGGCCAGGAGCCGAGTCTCGACCCCTGCAAATACAACTAGGTGAGTACAAACACACATACTGACACGTACATATATGTACACACATGTACACAGGCACGTACACACGTACACAGGCACGTACACACGTACACACACGTACACACACGTACACACACATGTACACACACATGTACACACACATGTACACACACACGTACACACACACGTACACACACACGTACACACACACGTACACACACGTACACACACGTACACACACACGTACATACACACACACGTACACACGTACACACACACGTACACACACACGTACACACGTACACACACACGTACACACACGTACACACACGTACACACGTACACACGCGTACACACACACGTACACAACGTACACACACGTACACACGTACACACACACGTACACACACGAACACACACACACACACACATACACACAGACACGTATAACATGAAGGAAGGCACTGCAATGGATCAGAGATTACCTGACAGGGAGGCAACAGTGAGTCATAGTATGTGATGAGGTATCACAGTGGGTGCCTGTGACAAGCAGGGTTCCACAGGGGTCAGTCCTAGGACCAGTGCTATTCTTGGTATATGTGAATGACGTGATGGAAGGGATAGACTCAGAAGTGTCCTTATTTGCAGGTAATGTGAAGTTAATGAGGAGAATTAAATCGGATGCAGACCAGACAGGTCTACAAAGAGACCTGGACAGGCTGGACGCGTGGTCCAGCAACTGGCTCCTAAAATTTAACCCTGCCAAATGCAAAGTCATGAAGATCAGGGAAGGGCAAAGAAGACTGCAGACAGAGTATAGGCTAGGCGGCCAAAGACTGCAAACCTCACTCGAGGAGAAAGATCTGGGGGTGAGTATAACACCGAGCATGTCGCCTGAAGCCCACATTAACTAAATAACTACTGCGGCACATGGGCGCCTGGAAAACCTGAGAATAGCGTTCCGATATCTCGGTAAGGAATTTTTCAAGGCTGTATACACTGTGTACGTCAGGCCCATTCTAGAGTACGCAGCACCAATTTGGAACCCACACCTGGTCAGGCACGTCAAGAAATTAGACAAAGTGCAAAGGTTTGCAACAAGGCTAGTTCCAAAGCTAAGGGGAATGTCCTACGAAGAAAGGTTAAGGGAAATCGGTTTGACGACACTGGAGGACAGGAGGGTTAGGGGTGACATTATAACAACATACAAAATACTGCGTGGAATAGATAAGGTAGACAGACAGGATGTTCCAGAGATGGGACACTGAAACAAGGGGTCACAGTTGGAAGTTGGACTCGGATTAGTCAAAGGAATGTTAGGAAGTATTTCTTCAGTCACAGAACTGTTAGGAAGTGGAATAGTCTGGCAAGTGTTGTAGTGGAGGCAGGAACCATACGTAATTTTAAGTCGAGGTATGATAAAGCTCATGGAGTAGGGAGAGGGAGGACAGAGTAGTGGTCAGTGAAGAGTCGGGGGCCAGGAGCTGAGTCGACCCCTGCAACCACAATTGAGCACACGCACACTCACACTCCCTCTCACAATAGTAACTACAGGAATGGATGACTCTCACCTGTTATGTACTGTGATACTCATAATTTTTTTTTAACATTAATATACATTTACTTTGAAAGTTTATAGTACGAAAAGTGGAAAGAGAAGCAACACAGGATTTGAATTATTAAATGATATTTTGATTAAAATTTGGCTATGGGGAGCAGTACTGTACCATTAGGTTGTAGTACACATTCTTTATAATATGTATACTCATCACAGATCATCATGAGTATTAAGAAAAATGCCTTTTTTTTTTTTTTTTAATGATGCTTTATAGCTTTCTGAAATAATAGTTAAAATAATTATTGAACATCTGATACTATTGACTTATTCTGCAGAAATGCATAAAAAGGAAATGTCAGTAAACAAAATGATTATTAGAGGATGCGCTGCTTTGTATTTGAAATATTTAAAAGCACCATTAAATAAAAGAGAACGGAAGGCTATTACTATCTAACGTCAAGTTGTATGAACTTAAATTCATTTGCATAATTTCTTACAGGGGAGTGATGGCAGAAGGTAATGGCGGTGGTGACCCGGGGTCACAGATAGATGGCGAGCGAACAGAAGATTACCAGAAATTGATTAATTATGGACTAAATGAAAAAGTTGCAGCAAAACTAGATGAAATCTACAAACAAGGCAAACTGAGACATGAAGTGAGTGGCTTTAACTTGAACATTTAATCATCATTACATTCCAAAACAAAAAAGGGTTTGTGCACAGGAAGTTGTTGAAATTCCAGAAATGTGAACATAAATTTATGACAAATTCCAGGCTTGAATATTTTGGAAACAATTTGAAACAAGGGGTAAATTATAGGTCTGAAATGCATTTTGAAAGTAGCTTTGACCTAACAGATTTATTAATTTTGTACATGTACATTATAGGAGGGCATTTGTTAATGCTCTGTAATAAGAATGTTTTTTCTTGGTTGATATGCATGTTAAAAATCATTATTTTTACCAGTGTTAGCTTCTTATGCTTTATTATATTAAGATTTTTTTCATGGTTTTGATTTATGTTTGTGGTAGTTTTAAACATCCTTTACAGAGAAGTATTTGGTAGCAATTTGTGAGTTAACATTGTGTTAGCCGAGCCAAGAGTAAGATCAATTTTACGATGTTAAAGGGGTCATTCACCATAATTTTCCATCAAATATTGCAGCATACACTACAGAATATCATTAAATGTGAATGCTAACTCATGAAATTTGTTCTTTCTTTGGGACACAAGGACATAATCTGCACACTGCTATAACAATGTACTGGTGTGAGAGATATGGGAGGAAGTGTAAAATGGACCCAGTGAAAGTCAAGAGCAAATATGCTCAACAAGAGAACGCTAAGTCAACATTTGTGGTTAAAGACTGTTTGGCCTGCTACCAGCAAATATCAGAAATATTACCAGAATAACTGTAGATGGTTTAAGGAGGAAACTGGATCACTTCCTCTGAAAAGTCCCTGATCAAGCATGCTGTGATAGATATGTGGACCAGCAGACTGCCAACAGCAATAACCTGGTTGAACAGGCAATTAATAGAAAATTCTGGCTCCAGGCTGGACTGCAAGGGTAGAAAAAACTACAAAGTGGCTATAGGTCTCTTACAGATATAGGGCTGCAAAGAAACGAGGATGATCTAGAATGGTAGGGATTGTATAAATAAAATGCTGTATTGACTAGGGGTGTGCCAAATTATCAGTATTGGTGGGTATCTGCTAATTTTTTAAGTGGATAGTGAGGTTCAGTGAAAGTATGACTTGGATAGGGCTGCTGATGGCACTTCTGTTGGGGGGATTCTCAAGACAAGTTGCAAAATTTGGTGGACAAATATGGGTTGGTGTGTAAAAGTAGGAAATTTAAAGGAAACAGAAAAGAGTAAGGTGATGAGGGCAACAACATATAAGCAATGATAGATTGAATATCAAATTGGAAGGAAGGAGTATGGAGGAGGTAGATATACACTTAATTAAATACTTGAGGGGCTGTCACCAGATAGGTCTTTGGAAGACTAAGTGAATCATAAAGTAGATGAAAGGAAAATGGTGGGTGGTGTGATGAGGCATCAGTGGAAAGAAAGAAATTTATCTATGGAGGGAAAAGAAGGGAATATGCCAAGTATAGTGTAACAACACTTCTCTTTGTATGTGAGGCATGATTTTTGACCATTACAGTAAGGAGGAGGCTAGAGGCAGTAGAGGTGTCATGTTTGAGAGCAATATGTGTGATGTAAATATCATGCAGAGGATTTGCAGAGTAAAAATAACAAGTGATATGGAATCACTGAAGGTATAATTTAGAGGGCTGAGAAGGGGTTGCCAAGGTGTTTTGGGTATGTCAAGAGGATAGAGAGGAATAAGTTGATGAACATTATGTATAAACCTAGGTGTATAAATCATAAAGCTAGGAAGGAGTGAATCTGGCAAGTTGAGAGGCAGGACCAGGCCCCAAGCAACCACATAATAGATAAGCACAGCGATAGGATGAAGGATGGTGAATGTGCTTTCTTTGCGTCATCCTGCCATGGATATGGCCGTTGAGGGGGAAATTTTTATACCGATGTATGGTACTCTACGCACACTTTTTTCTTCATTCAGATTTGCACCAGAGGCCTGATAGGCCTATACAGTAGAAAATGGGTCTGTGCACTTGGTGTGCACTGTATTAAAAAGATCTGGGCCCCTATAATACCTCATAGGAGCATCAGTTCGTTTGAGCACCAGCTACAGCAAGAAGCTTGGCAAACCCCAGGAATTCACTGATGCCCTCTCATATTAAAGTGCTCTTTTTTGAGGAAAAGGAGTGTTTAGAGGCCTTGAGATGGATGGGGGCCACAAGTAATTGATGAAATATCAAAAACCTAGATTATAACCCAGATGACCCATGTGCAGTATTTATGGCAGTGGTAGTGGTATCCTGCCAGGATGTCCTATCAGTGACGAGTCCCCAGAGTTAGTACAGTAGACCGTTGATTAACAGTAGTTACGTTCCTGAAAGTGCATTGTTGGAGGAATACGTGTTAAAGGAACTGAGTAACTTATGGGAAATATAGGGTTATGTTCCCGAGACCCCAAAAAAGCCAAATGACATTTTGTTGTTGTTAACCCTTTGAGGGTTTCTGCCGTACTAGTACAGCTTACAACCCAGGGTTTTTGACGTACTAGTACACCTAAATTCTAGCGTCCTCAAATCTAGTGGGAGAAAGCTGGTAGGCCTACATATGAAAGAATGGGTCTGTGTGGTCAGTATGCACAGTATAAAAAAAATCCTGCAGCACACAGTGCATAATGAGAAAAAAAAAACTTTGCCCGTTATTTTGGAATAAAACAGCGACTTTGCCTTGTATTTTCGTATGGTATTTATTGTTGTATTCTAGTTTTCTTGGTCTCTTTTTATAGAATGGAAGACATAATACAGAAATTGAGATAATTTTGACTGGTTTTACAATGAAAAGTACCTTGAAATTGAATTCAAAGTAGCAGAAATGTTCAATTTTTACCAAAGTTCAAAAGTGAACAAATTATGCCAAGTGTCCAATACACGTCAACTGGCGAGTCTAATATTCTTTCGCAAGTGCGCCAATATTATTTATACTATTTTTTACACTAATGCAGTAGTCTGCATAACAGTAAATCTTCTATTTTTTGTGAGAATAAAAATTCAAAGTGGAAAGCAAAAGAATGTAAGAGGGGCCTTGAGACATGACTAATGAACAGAGGAAATGTCATTTTAGTGCCAGTAATGTCTTTCTTGTTTATTCTGGACCCTATTCGGAAATTGGCATCTTTTAAAATTTGTGTGAAATTGGCAAAATTGCTAAATTCTGACCACTGTACTGGATAGTTGAAATTGGTAAATGGGTGGTTTCTTGCACTCGTTCGATAGAAAAAAATGGAGTTCTAGCGAAGTATTCATGTTTTTTGTCGACTAGTACAGTGGAATTGGCCAAAAATGGGGCTCAAAGTGGGCAAAATCGCCAATGCGTAAACAGCGCCGAGACTGCTAACTTCACGAGAGCATAATTCCGTAAGTTTTCCATCAAATTTCATACTTTTGGTGTCATTATGATCGGGAAAAGATTCTCTATCTTTTCGTAAGGAAAAAATATTTTTTTTTTTTAATTTGGCCGACCCTGGGAACGAGTCTCTGAGATGGCCTGTCGACCCTCAAAGGGTTAAAGGTCTCCAAATCTTACACACACAAAAATGATAATGCAGTTGTTGTTCATTGTTATGAATGTTTTTTCTGTTGCTTAAGGCAACAAATGCAGCAGAAATAATATTTCTTACCTTAAATTGTGGGTGCTGGTGTTTGTCGATAATTGTGAAGAGAGTGGAGAAGGATGTTGTGGCCCTACTGGGCTGAGGTGGATGGTAAAGGTTCTGGTACCAAAGTCAATGGTTATACTGTATGCATAAATTCTGTAATAGATCTCTGGGCTCTTACCCCGCAGTATATTATACAGCTAACGGTACGGCATCATCAGCTGCTCTAGACCCAGTTTCAAAGTACTGCTTCTAGATTTGTCAGTGTCCTCTTCAGTAAAATCTGCTAGTTTAGCAGCAACATGGAATTGCTCATGTAACTGCTACAATGTTCACTTTTTCTTGAGGTTCTTCATCTTCTTTTATCTGGCTCCCTTATATCTAACAAAAAAAAGGCACAATACCGTGACTGGAACGATACACAAATAACCCGCACATAAAAGAGAGAAGCTTACAGCGACGTTTCGGTCCGACTTGGACCATTTACAAAGTCACACTAACCAGAAGTGGAGCAGGACGGCTATATATAGGCAAGAAGAGGTGGAGGTGGTAGTAGTAGTACTTAACCTGACTCCTCATTTTTTCTTTTTCTTTTTCTTCTCCCTCTTCTCCTTTCCTCTTTCCTTTTTCTCCTCTAGGTTGTCTTTCTCTCTTCTGTCTCGTGTTTCTGTTCCTTCTTCATTTATTTCACCACTTCCCCTTTCACGCACCTCTGTGTGCTTGCTCTCCCTCTGTGGGCACCTAGCTCCCATGCAGTGGTCCCCTTCCTTTGTATTTGACTGGCTCGTCCTCCTTAATTCTCACTTCTACCACTACCTCTTCTACTACTACTACTAATGAAATTAAGACACGTGTGGCGTTTGGGTGTCTTTGTTGTGGACGTTTCGCCATCCAGTGGCTGGCTGGATGGCGAAACGTCTACGATAGAGATGCCCGGGTGTTGCGCATGTGTCTTAATTTCATCTTGTCGGTATTATATGCCATTCTTGTACTACTACTACTACTACTACTACCTCCACCTCTTCCTGCCTATATATAGCCGTCCTGCTCCACTTCTGGTTAGTGTGACTTTGTAAATGGTCCAAGTCGGACCGAAACGTCGTCGTAAGCTTCTCTTTTATGTACGGGTTATTTGTGTATCCCTTATATCTGTTCGTTGAGCTCTTCTAACATTTCCTATGCGCTCCTGTCTTCATCATCATCATCATCATCATCAAAGAGCTTATTTACATCATCTTCCTTCATATCTTCAAAGCCATCACCTGATAATCTTGCCAGCTGAACTATTTCCTTCATCTGACTCTGAAGTTAGGGAAAACCAGTGAAAGAATTAACAACAGAAGGCCACAACTTTCCCTAGCCTGCATTTAATGTTGATTGGAATACTTCATTCC